TGAAAGGTTTTGGACTTTAACATACGTCAAAACAGTAGAAGTATGTCTGATATCTGTTGTATCCTGGGCTGAATAGAAAGAACCTTTAGGGTGTTGTACTCTCCTTGTCAATCCAGACACAGGTACTGTAGTGACATAACGTGTACTTCCACTGTTGGTGGTTTGAGGACGACCTGTAGTTCCTCTCTGAATGGTTTGTACATTCTCTTTTTTAGGGAAAGTTGCTGTGTTGGTCATGTCTTGAGATCTGAAATTCTGGGTTTCAACAGTCTTTGGTCTAAATCTCCCTCTGGATGTCATGGTTGTAAGGCTGGTTGTGCCATTTGTGCGTTCATATGTTGCTCTGTAGAATTCAGGATCTGTGAAAAGGTTGTGTCAAAAACCACAGTGTTAGCCTCAGTGAAGTGTACAGGCAAGTAGCACTCATCACTTTGTTTCTTATCTACCTGGCAGAGCCGTAACCTGGTGTTTTTGAAGGGCTATTGTTGAAGCTGTGTCATCCATCCTCATGGCATTACTCCAACTCCAAGAACTCCTACCCTGGTCCCGGACCAAACCAGATTCAATACCTGCCCAGTACACGAAGTATGACTGAACCACTGTGATGCTGCAGTGATAAAAAAAAATCTTTCTAAATAAAAACAGTAAAAATTATCCTTCATTTGAACATTTTAATTCATCTAAAGTTGGATTTTTCTTCATACGTACTAGAACCGCACATCCCCCATAGGAACATCAGGAGCTCTCCAAACAAATGACAGGTTTCTCTTCAGCTGTTTGTCCGAGTGGGTGAGGGTGTCACCCTCTGAGAGGCAACGCAGGGAGTGACTACCAGGTGGTGTGAAGGTCCAGGACCCTCCAACTACAACTGGACCAAATCTTGAAGACCTAGAATCTTTTTTAGCATCACTTCTGGCCTTAATCCTACCTCCAGCACCAGCCTCAACCACATCTGAACTGCGAGCCTGGAGCAGGAAACCCATGAAGTCTCTGGAACTTCGCACAGTAACTGAAGAAAACAGTTTAGAAGAGAGGGATTCCTGTTTACATGCTCCTCAGTACTTCTAAATGGTCACATGCTGTAATTTAGCAACATAGTTCCTGAATGAAATCCCATTTATATGGCTTGACGAATGGATGATCTAGGCTCCCATTAGGAACAACCAGCTGTCTGTCATAATTCCAGTTATGTATTTCAGTTTACCAAAGGTAAAACTAGTGGATAAAACCAAGTTGAGCAATTAGTCAAGGCTTTGTTAAAAAAATAAATTTGTGTTGTGGGAATTCTTAGCTAGCCTTACTACAGCAAAAACAGAATATTTATAAGCAGCACTGTGTAAATATTAGAGATTAATTCTAACATAATTTACTGAAAATGAATCAAATAAAGTAATACACCAATAAAGCTTAGCCCCAGTCCTTATTCAGTCCTAAGTCATGGTTGAGTCGTTAGCTTGTAGTTAGTCTGTACCTGTGATGAACTGTCCAGGCAGGTATGAGGAGGCTGATGTTAGCAGTGTGACGTAGCTTTGTTGCAGCTCCTGGGGCTGAGCCTGGATGTGGCCAGGAATCATTTCCTGACAAGATGTGAGGCTGGCACCACGGGAAAATGTTGAGCTGGGCAGAGCCTGAATGAATAAAACCACACCCACTCCCAAACAGTAAACGCTAAGTAGCATCTACACACACACACACACACACATAAATGTGACATATAAAATGTAGAAAGTAACAATAATTACTAACATAAAATATATGGTTCATGTTTCCTTCATATAATTTTGTGTTTTTATGTTATTACAGCAAATACTTCGGCTAATACAACCTGTGACTGCTGACTTCCTAAATTCACTTCTTCTGGGCTAAAACTGCAGTTGTAGATGTTGTCGACCTCTGTTCCTCCCCCACATCCAGCTAACTGAACCCCAACTTATAGATATATCAATGTCTACTTTTTACGTTATACAGTATTCATTAATTTGATCTTCTAATCTTTAGCCACTAATACCTTGATGTTTAATATATTTTAACATTTTATTTTGTTTTTCTGAATTAATGATTCATCTTCTTAACATCTTGAGGACCATTTTCCCTCTTTTACCTTCTCCTTCTTCTTCTTTTCTTCCTCTTTCCTCTGGTTGTATAAAATCACCCGTCGTCGTTTCTTTGTTTCAGTTATTGATTGTCGTCAAGTGCAGAGAAAAAAAAACAATCCTGTGAATCCAGACGGAAAACCGGTGGGAATGAGACTGTGAAGAATCTGAGGAACCAGGATGTTAGAGGGATAGAAAGGTGAGGGAGGGGTGAGGAGGGGTGTATCTCTGAGTCCAACCCCAAACATAGGAATTTACAACCTCCACTCAGACAATTAGTTATAGTATGAGTATTTATATTGAATGGTTTAAATATTTTCTGATAGTCAGACAGAAACAACACAAATCTTATGGTGTGTGTTTTGCATAATTGAAAGTGAATTGTACAGCTGAGCCTGATACACACGTCAGGAGTAATACTAATGTTTGTGTAACTGTTAAAATACTTCAAATTTAGAATTTGTCAGTGGAATATTATTATTGTGACAGTGTTTTCTCATTCACTTCTTTCTCCCCGTGCTGCTTGGTTGTGAGGAAAATAACAACTAAAAACTTTATTTTTTAGTTTCTTGGGTTGTTAGGAGTTCCTTCTCTCACACCGTGTGTGTGCATGAGTGACCACTAATCTCTAACAAACACACACACACTAACAGGATGTGGACCAGCTGCTGCCTCCCCTCTTCAGGATTTGTCATTTGACCTTTCAGTCAGTCAGTGGGTACTAAAATTGATTACTATTTTTGTTAAATAATATATCTAATATTTTATAAGCTACTGTGTGGCTATTGTTTTTATGTTTCTACTTGTTGACTAATGAAGCTACTATGATAACATATGGGTACTTTTATAATTATAATACTTATAATAACAACCTTTAAACTTAAATAAATTATTTACATAACTTAAGCTGTTTTTCTTAATAGTTACCATTTTTTGAAAAAATGACACAACGCTTATCTAATGTTTTACTGGAGGTATTTGCTATAGTCAACAGTAAAATGGTCAAATATAGTTAATACCAAGATCCAGTTTGAGCCAGTCAGATTCTATGTGCTAATGTCACGTTCAACATTAGCTGCTATTGTTGCCAAGGGCAATGTTATCCACCTTCAAGCTCAGCTTCTAGCTACCATACCAATACACCTTGTTAATAGCATAATTGGCAGCTAGCAATTATATATTTTTTTGACATTATTTTAAAGTATCAGGCTAGGTTAGCCAAGTAGAACTGAATTAGCTTTTAGCCAGAGTAGCTAAGGTGATCAGCATATCAAACACTAATTACAGTGTCACCAAATATTGTAGAGTTAAAATTTAGAATTAGCTACAGTTATATTCAGATGTGAGAGCAGCTCAGAGTTTCATTAACGGTTTGTGTTCATGCATCAGTGCCTCAGATTCGGTCATAAGTTATTCTCCTGCTTTGTGTTTCTCTCATTGTTGACAGTAAAAAAAAATCAAATACTTCAGATAAACGTGACATCTCAGGATACAGTTGTCATCTGTCTCCCTCTACTGGCTACCAAACGACACTGCACCTTGTCCATCATGATCATGGCCGTGAAAATACTACTGCAGTATTTGACCTGGTATTAATGAAGCTGTGAGCACTGCTTACTAGATAATACTAACATTGGATACTGCTAATACTACGTAGTCATATGACACACTGGAACTATGTAGGTCGTGGATGCGTTGGTCATAATAAATGTGCAAACACATACAACCAAATGTGTACTTTGTATTCAACCCATACACACACACACACACACACACACACACACATATATATATATATATATATATA